GCATACAACGCCCGGCCTGGAGTCAGCGAAAGGATATGCTTCTCCCCTCAGGAGAAAGCGGGTCGGTGCCGTGGCTACGAGGTGTACGGGGCCATCAAAACCAAAGAGATCGATCCCGCCAAATGCGTCCTTCAAGGAGAAGGTAGGAAGGCACTGCCCATGGCAGTCGGGGCGCAGTGGACAGGGACATGGTATTTAAAAATGTGTGGCTTCTCAGCCAGGAAGAGCTCCCTACTGACCAATTTACCAAAGGACAGAGACATTGACCTACAGGACAGTGACCCCACCCTGGCCCTTTTCTGATTTGCTCTGGTCAGGGTACAGCTAATATCCCCTACAGGGATGAGGCCGGGTCCTTTTCCAGTTGAGAAATTAGTAGCTACCAGGGAACTCAAGGACCACGCTGTCACTGTCGGGTCAGAATGCACCCAGAGGCGGTATCGGTGTGGTCTCGAGGCCAGGGCGAAATCCTGAGCTCCCAGAGGAGCGGCTCGGACGAGTTCTGAAGAGTTTCAGAGGGCTGAGGAAGGGGAGAACGGCTTACTTTCCCCTATGCCCTGTTTGGCTCATGGAAGCCACACTCCACTGGCATTTAAAAGCATGTGGTAGGCATTTCATTCAGTAGGGGGGATACAATTTCTTTTGACCACAGTGTTCTGTTCCTACAGGAAGCGTATTATTCAAACATAGATTCATAGACCAGCCTTGCCAGGACTGTATCCTACAGTCATCCCGACTCTGGCACAGGAACTGGTAACTGTTTGGAGGTCACAGATCCCTTTGAGAATGACCTTTCCCCAGGGAAAACCACTGTCTTAGCTATAAGATTTCAGATTCTTAGACCCTTCCTACACCTCTCTGTAGACCTCACAGCAGTTCACGTGCCCCTGAGCAGGTTAAGAAGCCTGTTTCATCTACTGGACCAGGGGCTGTAGCTACTCAATGTCCCCCAAGCATCTTCGCACAAGCCGCCCCATTGTGGAGGATCTCACAGCACAGAGTCCCTGCCAGGTCCAGCTGGACCTGCCACTCAGGGAGGGTAGTTTGGGGGCTACCAGCCTCTCTCACAGGGGCTAGAGCATTTTCTTCTCTAAATACTCAGGTCAATCCTGAGTATTTTCAAAGTTTCTTTAGGGCAGAAGTTAAGGTCAGGATCCTGTGTAACCAGCAGCAGCTGCTGGCCCCCAAGAAGTATGCTCAGTCTGAGAGATGGATGGGAGGAAGCACGACCTTTTGTTCTAGAGAGAAAAAGCAAGATGGCGTCTGATCTGGGGGTGCAGTCACTGTGGTTGGCCTTCAAGGTGAGGACTGAGTGTTTACCTTCTGCAGATCTCCACAGAGCCCGGGAGAAACAGACAGCCTCTTTCACCGTGTTATGTAAGGACGCAGCGGGAGAGAGCATGGGCAGGGGAGGAGACAACATTCAAGTCGCAGTTGTCCCCAAAGATAAGAAAGACAGGTTTGTACTGCACAATCAGGTGACATGGGTAAAGAGCGGTGATGAAACTGGGAACTTGAGGTCCTCTGCAATAGTGGAAATGTAACTTCAGGAGTTACCTCCTACCTTCCCATGATGCTATTAAAAATGTGATAGGACCAATTGCATTAGATGTGTTTTCTTGTATGGGTTTTATGCTTATATTCAGCTCTCTCCCAAAGATGTGATCTGCCCCTCAGATTGTCTTCATCCTGAGCTTTGAATAAACGAAAACTATTCTCTATTAGACAGAATGGTGCCCTTCTCAAAATTCAGCCCCACTTGGCTGCTACATTGTGCTGGGAGCAGAGTTATGACTCTGGAATTAGAGGGGAGAGGAGGGAGGACACAGTAACGTTTTCAAGAAATTCATCTGTCCATCAGATTAAATTAGCACTTACGCTGCTTCTCTTCTGGTGTAAAATTAATTTTTGGGACAAGAAAAAGCATCCTGCCTGAGGGACATTTAAAATTAAGATTAAGTTTAATGGTGTAGAATTTACATCCTAAAATAGTGGGCAACTGCAGCAGGTTTGTGAGAGTGAGTGGCTTTTCTGAACTCAGATCTCCATGCAGTCCAGTCAGAACAATGGTGCAGGATAACAAGGACGGGACGTACTACGTGTCCTATACCCCCAAGGAGCCCGGCGTCTATACTGTGTTGGTCTGTGTCAAAGAGCAGCACGTGCAGGTAAGAACCTGTGAGCTTCCCTGAGCCGCTTCACCCTGTCCCTGGATTCTGTCACTTTAGAACATGGAGGCATTTCTCATAGGATCAGCGGTCCAGAGGGACTGAATAGGATTCTCTTCTTTCCCATTTCTCTTCACTTTAGAAATGGCCCAGATTTTGCGACTCTTATTCTTACTAGAGGAGGCTGGTGACCATGAGAACGCTCTAGCCTTATTCCCCTCCTGGCGGTTCTGCGTGTATTTTATCGTTCCCCCAGTTGGCTTGTTGGAATTCTTAATTTGGGAGAGGTGCGTTAATTACAGGGGCAACCTACCAGCAGACAAGAATCCACATTCAAAAAATACAGTCTAGCTCAGGATTTTCCTGCTTCGTTCAGACAATGACCAGATGTGGACTTATTGGAACATGACTGGGGGACTTCCACCCCTCTCAACGGCCCATTCATCTGTCTGCCCAACCATCTGCCCATATAATTCTCTGCTATTTACATATGTGCTTATCTGTCACCATGCTGACTACACTTCCTCCACAGATGAGTATAACGCTTTCTGGTTAGAGATTATGAATTTTTTCAGACACTGACACTTGAGTAGTCAGAAGTCTCCCCCAACCAGAAATCAACACTGATGGGGACAATAAAATGCTATTCAGTGTCATGATAGGTTAGGTTTATGGCATGTGCACTGGGAAGACTCAGTCAATAGCCACTTACTGTTGGCCTGATTACACTGTGCTGGAGTGGGTCAGCTGTTTTTGCACACATTATTCATTCTTCCAGACCATTCAGACACAGGGATCATCACCCAATTAGACGGAGAAACCAAACTTCTCAAAACACACTGCACCTGCAAAGCAAAATCAGACTTAGACTCCATTTCTTTGAACTCACAAGTTTTTAAAATAGACTATAAACTCTTGAAAGGAAGAGATTTAACATTTGAAAGGTTTCTAAGGTGCCAGACTCTGTTTTTGCACAGTGTGGTTCTCACATAGGGATAGGCACATAGCAACCTTTAACATTTATTGTTTAACATAGGCTAGGAATTGGAGAATGGAAGTTATCCTTGAAGGAAAGGGGGCAGATAGGAGTGTTTCTAATTTGATAATTATTAACCACACTCTTAACTTCTCTCCCTTGCGTACCTCTTCCCTGTCCCAGAGTAAGATGGGTAAACAGATATGCCCCGGATGGGGGCGTGGAAGGGGAGGAGGCAGCTCGATATGTGAGAGTAGGAGGCGTGTGGCTGAGAAACTGGAGTAAGGACCACAGGAAGTCTTAGCCTTGTGGTTGAGGCACGAGGCTACTAATTACTCTTTCAATTCCTCAAGGATGGAGAAGATGGAGCTGAGTCAGTGACACGAAAGCACAGGTTGGGTTTACTAGTGGGTCATGTGGCCCACATGCCAGAAGGGCAGCACAGGCTGCTTGACTCTGTCACTGCATGTCTGGCCCTGTCCAGCTGAGCACCCGGCTAGTTACTGTCTGCTTCCCTCCCGCTGTCCTTGTCTAAGGGCAGGCCCTGTGACTTACACTCTGTTTAGCACGTGTGATGCTCAGCACATCTCTGTTGGCTCATAAGGTGCTATTCTTTGCTCTTGGTCTGAACACCGAAGGGCTCGCCATTCACGGTGACCGTGAGGAAGAGGCACCGCTCGCACCCAGGCGTGTTTCACTGCTGCACATTCTGCTCCAGTGGTGGCCAGAAAACTGCTCGCTGCGCCTGCGGAGGCACCATGCCAGGTAGGACCAGGCACTCTCGAGGGTCCTGCCCCTCTGGGCCTGTCTCCGGCAGTGGGAATCGGCTACCACATGGCCACTGGGTTTGGGAAATTCAGACTTAAGCTTTGTTTCTAGGAATAAGGTCTGTGCGTACAAAGACCACAGTTCTGAACATTTCTTTTAAAGCTTCTTGTTCTGAAAATTGCAATAGTGAGCTTAAAAATTCCGAGGTCTCTTAGTTTTGATACAGTTCATCAATCCCATGCTTGGTTTCCATCTCCGCATTTTCCAGCATCCTGGCAGTATAAAAATGTTAACGTATCCAGTTCCTTTTAAAACGTTACACGTCTGCTTTACATGCAGAACATCCTGGGTTCATGCCCCAGTGGAGCCACGGTCCATGGTCTACGGCCATGCCACCCTGAACAAGCCCAGTGTCTGATCTCGGAAGCTAAGCAAGGTCGGGCCTGGTTAGGACTTAGATGGGAGACTAAGGTGCTGTAGGCATAAATAATAATAAAAATAAATAAATAAATCAAACATTAAAGAAATTCCAACCAAGGCAGGGGTGGGGGAGTGGGTGATTAAACCAGCGGAAGCCCGTCTAGCTCTTTTCAGGCGAGAGACGAAATTGTTTTTTAAAGTGCTCTGTCCGTCCTTACTCTAGTGGTGGGCCTCGACATAAGCTTTGCGCCCTTCGTCATAAACACTTCAGGATCTATCTTCTTTTTTATTCCCCCCACTCCACCCTTCTCTTTTGTTTAAGTTATTTCAGTTAAAATCCAAACCAGTTGGATCTCCTTGAGCTTGCAGAGTGTGGAAATAACACTCTTCTTAGAACTTCGGCTCCCCTTAACCGATTGGCTGTCATCAGCCCGGGAGTCCTCACTGCAGAGGCGTCCCACAGCTTGTTCCTCTCGCAGGGATTTCAGGAGAGGGCTTCACATCCGTGAGTCAGAATGCTGCCAGGGGCGTTAACTGCCACGATAACTGCTGCACTTCACTCCAATGGTGTTTTCCCTTCCTTTTGTACCATGCAGGTGGGTACCTAGGCTGTGGCCACGGACACAAAGGCCACCCAGGTCGTCCCCACTGGTCATGCTGTGGGAAGTTTACTGAGAAGTCAGAATGTACGTGGACAGGTGGGCACAACACAGCAAGGAGCGTACTCAGGACCGTGGCCCTCTGACGGTTTCCTGGGTCGACCCGTTGAAGCTGCAGCCAGCCAGCTTCAGACCACCCACCAGAGCAGCCCAAACCTTGATTAATCTGAAGAAACCGATAGAATTAAAAATGAAGTGCCTTAGCTGAACTCTTGAGTTCAAGTACTTTCTGTGAGTTACTCACTGATTGCGTGTGCGGGTAGTTGAGCACAGGAGACCAGCACTGTGTCTCTTAACAATGGGCTGGTGGCATTTTCTCCGCCGAGGGAGGCTGCCTTCTGTTTTGTGCAGGTTTGGAGGTATCTGTGTCGCTGGAACTTAATCATGGGGGTAGTGTGGTTCCTTACTTTTTGATAATTAACCTTTTTTATTTTAACCTAAGCTGCACATTTATCTATTTCCCTCAGAAATAAAAACCTCCTTTTATCGTATCCACTTTTCACTAACATACTTTAAATGGATTATAATATGATCTTGCTATTTAGGTGAGGTCCCCCTCTTTGCCATGTTCATTTTGTACGCCCCCCCAACCACAGCCTAGGAGATTACTATTTGCTAAGTGCACACAAGTAATAAGTAAATAAAGGGGCATGGTGTTGAAATAGAGCCTCATAAATTTATAGCAGTTCTACTCATGCCAGGTGATCGAGATACCTCCATCCTCATACCTCTTACGCTCTCCGGTTTTTAGAGAGTAGTCTTCACTTCTGTCTGTACACCTAGGAAGTCAGCTAGAAGCCCTGACCCCCAGAGCGTGCCTGCTTGGCTCTTAGCATCTAAACGGAATTCTTGGGGGAGAAAGTACATAGCTGATCCCTTTCCCCTCCACGAAACATTTCCTCGTTTTGGTTTTTGTGGCATCACTCGTCCTAATTCTCCTGTCTCACTGCCTTTTCCTTCTCAGTCTTTGCTAGTCCCTCCTGCTCTCTCCAGTGTCCGTACGTCGGGGCGCCCCAAGGACCAGTTCTTTCATTTCTCCTCTCACTCCCTAGATGATCTCATCCTTTTGACTCTAAGTACCGTGTATACACTGACAACTCCCAAATTTAGCCCCAGCTCCCGACTCCAAAGGATTATATCCAATACCTTACTTAACATCTCCACTTGGCTATGGCACAGACACCTCCGATTTAAAATGTCCCAACAGATCTCCCAATTTCCACTTCTTACTTTCCACCTGCCTATTCCCCTGAACGGCGTCTCCCTCAGCCTTCTCCATTTCCCTAAAAGTGAAGTCCGAACCCCTTCTTACAGGTGGCGGAGTCGGGGGCCTTGGAAACATCCCTGACTCTGCCCTCATGTACCACATCCAGTCCGCTGGCAAGTCCGATCAGCTGTCCCTCAAAATACCTCTGCTGAGCACCACCCTCCACCTCCACGGCTACCATCTGAGGATGCCGAGTTCTCACCTGGAGTTGGCCTTCCAACTCGTCTCTGCTTCCATCCACCCTTACTCTCTCTCCTGTGGTCTGTTCTCCACTCAACAGTCAGAGAGGTCCTGTAAAACAGCTCAGATGATGTCACCCTTCCGATGGCCTCCCATCTTACTCAGAACAAAGCTAGTCTTCGCAGCAGCATGTAAGACCCTGCACGTCATGGATCCCTGCTCTTCTCTCATCTCCCACCCATCCCCCCTCCAGCACTCTATTCTAGCCAAACTGGCCTGCCTGGGGCTCCTCGAACTCCCCAAATACTCTTGTCTTACGGCCTCCATCTACCGTGGTCTTCTCATAGGTACCTACCTGACTCACTCCTTCATTTTCCTCAGGTTTCTGCTCCCAGGTCAGATATCTTACTGGAGAGGTCCCTAAGTACCCCATATAAAATAGCAGACCTCCCCAGGAATCCACATCACCCTCACTCAGCTTCATCACCGACTACCAAACACATTCTGCTTGTTGTCTGTCCTCTCATACAGACTAAGCTCTAGGAAGGCGCAGATTCGACATTTATTAACTACTATATTGTCCCTGTGTTCCTAACATGTATTTTGTTAAACGAATAAAGATCTAATTGGTAGAATTTTTAGTTTGGATCTCCTTGGTATCTGTTTCTACAAGCCAGACTTCCCTTTCCCCAAATGCCATATTTGTCATTTACCCAAATACCACTTGGAAAAAATCTTGGCCTTCTCTCAAACCTGCTGGATAAATTAAATGCACCTTTGGGACCAGCCTTGAACTTTCCAATTACCTCAGATATCTAGGGAATTGCTTGCCATGAAGAAGCTTGTTGCATTACATCATTTTTCCCACGTGTCTTTTAATGATTCAGATTTCAGAACTGAGGATTAAAAGCTTATCATTTATTTCAGTTGGAAAAAGGTTTTGGTAGTTGGATAACATTACTATAAATGAAGTTATATTGCAACAGAAAACTTCTATAAGACGTGTAGGTTTTGGCAAATGCCTTAGCCTTTAAGCAATATTAATGGTAACGATTCCCTTATGAATACTAAGAAAGTTTATGCAGGTGGTGGGGGGTCAGCCCAGCTGAAAGACCTGGCAAAGTAAGAGTAATCTGCAGAGCCCAAGACACCAAGGTGAGGGAAAAAAAGTTTGAGGATGTAGAAATTGTCCCCAGGGTAACAAAATGCTTGAGAAATCACCTGAGTTGTGAGCACTGAAGCATCAACACAATGCATTATTATGATGTAAGTTCTATCTCTGGTGTTAACAGGTAAGAAAAAAGAACCACAATTACAGCCTCTGTCCTCTGGGATGTTGTAACAGGATAAACACCTTGGCTGTCTTGGATAACAAACGTACACATACACCTTTCGGCCCACCCATTCTCTAATCTCTAAAACATACCACTCGGCTTTACTCCAGAGGCTGTAAACCTGTGTGTTAGGTTTGTCTCAGTTAAGAGGTGGTTAAGGGAAGCTGAATGCTAATTAAAAGAATATAGGAAGATGAATTTCACTCTTGGCCTTGTTAGCCTCTATATTGATTTCAATTCCTTCATCACTTCTTCAAAGTCTTCTCTAACTAGGTCAAATCCCTCTTCTTAGCCCTCCCAGCTACACGTGCCTCCATTACAGTACCCATCACCACTGCCACTTCACAGTCATACACGTGACTTGATTCACGCCTATAGACTATACGCCTCAGGAGGATAGGAATGGTTTTTGGTTTTGCTTACCCCTCATATTTTCAGTGCCCAGCAGTGCCTGGCACATTTAGTATATATTTTTGAACTAATGTATAAATAATCGAGCAGTAAAAGTATTCTCCCCATCTTCCCTTTCATATATAATCTCTTCCTACACTAAGATTCAGCTAAGGATTCTGGGTAATGACTCAAGCTAGCAAAGACATTGTATGGCTGCGGGTCTGTCTACCCCATTTCCTCTCTAGGAGTTAGGCTACTCTTTCATTTCCATTTCCATCCTAGCTACTGACCCCTGTGGAACTTTGTACTGGCCCTAATTTCATTTTTGTTTATGAAAACATTTTAATTTAGGTTATATGACCAGGAATTCTAAATTCCTATTATAATTCTTTTTGTGCCCGCAGGTATGCTTTTTCATTCTTTCTGCCTTTTCCTAGGGCTAGATGCTACATAGCAAATAGTACAATATCCCACTTTGTAAACTCGATTCTCTCAAGGCATTCTGCTAGACATCAGGATCGCAGACAACTGGAAGAGGCCACATTGAGCACTGGCGTCTCCATGGTTATCCTGTTAGTACAGGACAATCTGGCTTCCCCCGTGAGCCCTGCTGAAAGCCCTTTCCTTGGGCAAAAAGACAATCAGAGAAAACAACCCGATATTCTAGAGCCATTCTAAATCCCAACTGCTACAGAAAAGGGTCACGTCCCACAAAGACACCATTCTGCCTATTGCGGTTCATGATGACCATGTGACAGCGGGAGTCCTTGACAGGGTACTTAAAAGGGCCCAGGACCTCGTCCGGCCGTGGCATGCACAGTGAATGCTCTTTTTTGATCAACACTGCTGAAGAGCAGTCAAGCTATAAACCTTCCATGCAGGCAATTCCGCCATATCAGAAATACCTAGTAAACTGGGTGCTTGGCAACGCTGCGCTCTGGTGACAGATGTGCACCATCTGGCTCTTTCAGCTGTACCCACGCAGCTGTTCCATTCTCATGTTCCCAGGCCTGGTCCCACAGCAATAACACCAGCACCCATACGGCACTTCGCGGTTTATAAAGCATTTATTACCTCATTTCGTCCTTGCCTAAGTCTGCTGAGGTAAGCAGCAGACCTAAAAAGAAAATCTGGCAGTTGTGGTGTTACATAGAAGAAGGCTGGTTGACACTGGCAGAACTCACAGGCCAGCTCCTCAATTAGAGCACTTCATTTTGGGATGGTGCTCATTGCTGGAGGGTGCAAAGACCCACTTGTCACACCCAGACCTTAAGAAACTCACAGTAACTAAAATGAACAGGAGCCTGAGAGAGCCGCCAGATGCTAGATTAATCCAGTAGAAATTTCCACCTCAAGCCTAGGATTTAAGGGTGCATGTTTGGTATAGCAGTTCCAATTTTTGCTGCACCCACATCTGCAGCATCTCAGTGTGACAGGAACACCTACTCAAGACGTAATCGGAACAAGGCCCATTAGAGAAGCTGTTTAAGAAACCAGAAGGAATCTCACAGCAGATTACACCAGTCAATGGGCTCTGAGTATCTGAAGACTACGTTATAATCCCTGCATCCACATCCACACTAAAAGCAAGAATACAAAGTTAACATTGCCTCTCCCCAACAGAGCTTGCAACGGACACTGACAGTGTGCACTGAACGTGCCTTCTGACAGGGCCCATCCGTATACCCAGTCAAATGGCCTGTAGCATGTACACTTGTTACTGAATTCCCAGTGGAGCACAATGAGGTATCTGCTAATCCACACATCTTACAGATAAAAGAATGGAGAGGATCAGGCACCTATAACTAGCCTAATATTAGATCATCAGCAGAGGCAGAGTTTACATTCCTGCTTTTTTTTTCCAACACTTCTCAGGTGACACTTATCTTGGCCCTGGTATGTTGATCTCATAACATAACCCCCAAAGGGTAATCTTCCATCTTTCACTTCCCGATTTCATCAGGGATCTCACTGTAGCTGCTGAGTTCTGAAAACAATGCCCACCTTACAAACGTGGAAACCAAAATGCGGAGAAGTTCATTTTTTTAAGGTTACATCCCCAGCTAAGGTGAATCTGGAACTAGAGTTAAGTCTTGTTCTACACCAGAACTCCTGCCACCAGGCCAAACCGTCTTCCCTCTGCAGGCCTTAGACCTTGTCCTTGGAGGGCACCTTTGCTTAAACGGGCTCCGGCACCACAGCTGTACTGAGACTGGGTTAACATAGGGTTTTGTCTCCTCCTCCTAACTCAAAGGAGGGCAGCCCTTCTATCTAGCAAGAATAACAATTCTTTCTAGCAGAAACTGGCAGAGTAAGTGTTCTCTAGAAATGACTGCTAATGGGAAGAAGGAAATCGGAATGGTTTTCTGAAGTAGAAAAGTCTCAGGAGTTTGTATTAGTCAGGGTACTAACTGTCATATAAACAACCCCCAAATCTCGGTGGCTTAAAAAAATTATTTCTTCATCATGTCACAGCCCAATGTGGGTGAGCGTGGGTGAGAAGGGAGACACATATGGGGAAGGCTTCGTTCCAGCCATTCAGGAACTGCGGCTTACGAGTCTACCAAAGGGTCTACGGCCAAAAAAACAGGTTAAGAATCCCTGATCTAGAGGCTAGACAATTCTCTAGGGCCTGCCAGTCCTCTCCCGGGACCTCTGTATCCAGTGGCTAGTGAGGAAGAAACAGCATAAAGGATCATTTGCAAAGTTTTAGAGGACAGATAAAAAAATGACTTACATCACTTCTCTCCTCGTCCCACTGATAACTCGGTAGTATGACCCATGTACCTGCAGTGAAGACACAAATGTCGTCTCTCTGGGTGCTCAGGAGGAAAAGGAAATGGATTACCTGTGTTACACTGTCAAACACGTATTTATTGGGTTATACCAATGATAATACCCATGCTAAATGATACAATGGTACAATGGTACAAATACTATGTGACATAATACTAAATGAAACAATACTACGGCGCTACAAATACTGTAAATTGGTAGTACTATAAAAATGATACAAATATTAAACTATGATACAAATACTACGTAAAATAGCAATATGAAATTTTATGGTAACACTAAATGATATGATACCAACTACTAAATGATACAACGATATGCATCCTAAACATCTGTTTAATGTACAAAGCACCTCCTGATCTGACTCCTGACAGGAAGAACTGCCTGGCCTGAGACACCTGCAGAGGAATGGCCATAGGGGTCCCCCCTTCTGCTCCATCCAGAAAGAGATGGTCATAGGAACAGCCTCATTGGCAGGGGAGGTGAAGAGATGGGAGGGAGCCTGTGCTAGAAAACGTAATGACGCTGGGTCCCCATAAGCTGAGAAGAGAAAGGCACCAGAAGGCTTTCTAAGCTTTTACGGAGGCGTATGTATAACTCTCCCAGAACTGTTTTCCAAAATTATCTAACATGAAAGCTTCTTCTTTTATCTGAGACAATTTATTGGTTTGTAAGTCACTTATTAAATAAGTTGACTGATTAACATGATTGATTAACCGACTGTTTAACATGATAATTGATCTTCAATTCGAGAGATATGCGTGCGCCTTCTGTGAGGGGGCAGAGGGCCTGAGGTGAGATGGAATGCCAAGGGCGGCCCAGGGCTACGGTTAGGTGTTCTCCCCAGACCCTCATAAAAACCGAAGGTGGCACTGTAAACAGGAAGCTAGATGCCAAAAAGGACTTTGAGGTCAGCCAAGGTGAGCTTGGTGACAGATTCTCCAGATCCTGACAGAACTTGTTTGGCCAAATCTTTCTTTTTTTCTTGAAGCTGCAAGATCTTCTCTTCCACTGTTCCTTCACAAACAAATCTACAAAACAGACAAGCAAACCATCAGAAACCAAAAGCAGTATATCTAATTACAGGTTAAAACATCTATATTTATGCTTTAATTTTTAAATGAGATTTCTTCCTTTATTTGAGCTTCCTTAGGTTTGGTTAAGAACTCTTAAGTTTAGGCAATCCAAGCAACCTTGACTAAAGATATGTCCATTTAAAATGATGTGACTCAAATTGACTTTCTCTTTATTTCTGAAGCTAAGGTAATTGAGGAATGCCAAAATCAGCAGAAGATAACTCTCTCCAGAGAAGTGTAGAGATCTGGCTTTCACACCAAATGCTCAATCCAGACAAGGTCAGAAAGCCTTGAAGCTTATCAGTTCCTGCTAGGTATACGTGAGCTAGTGTAAGGACAGAGTGTCTTACTTCTTGGTTAACTTGGCTAACTCACAGTAAGAACAAGTTTTACAAACTGAGAAGATATTGTTGTCTTTCACTCGTTCACTAAGTACTGACCAAGCATTCACCACCCGCCACATGCTGTGCTAGGTGTGGGTATAGAATGATGAATACAGTTTTGCTCTCCAAAAAAACACGAGACATGAAAATAAACGGCAACAATAATACAACCTAGAAAGGGCTACAATGGACATATACCCAGCATACAAACGGAGCAGAAGGAATTCTGTCTGGGGCACTCAGGGAGAACCCCACTGAGGAGTTAATGCTTAATGTGTGAACTGGAGGACGAGCAAGGGTTGGTGGACAGCAGAGTGGGCGGAATGGGAACGCATGGGACACCCGAGGGATGGCAATGTGTGGGAAACCTGGGCTGAGTTTTAGTACACGGTATGCTGAAGATCAATTCATCAATCTCCCCAGGGCAAAAGTCAAAAGGACAACCGTGCTGTACTACACTGGCAGAGGCTCAAGATGCTGACGGGCCGGATCACGAGTGGCTCTGCATGTCATGCTAAAAAATTTAGATTTGAAAGAGAGAAGTGGCAGCGGGGCTGAGAAAGGAGTTATAAGAAACATTTAGAAAATAAAATGAATAGACTTGGTAGGTAAAAAAGCGAGAAAGAGGGAAGAGCCTTGTTTCTGGCTCTATGACTACATGAACAGTGATACCATTTACACAGAGACAAGAAATACAGAAGAATAAACAGATCAGAGGCGGCAAGAAAATGATTTCGGTCTGTGACACTCTGAGTCCCTGCTACATAGTGAGTGCTCAGTAGGTATTAGTTTTATGAGTTGAATGAGATGAATGAATGAATTCAATGGTGAGTGCGTGGACATGCCGTCCAGATACTAAGCAGGGTTTTGAATAGGTATGAAGTCTAGGGACCCTCGGAACTGAAGATGCAGATGTTGGACTTACGGGAATGGGAAGGATTATTAAGGAGGGGCATATGAAGGGAGGTAAAGACAGGAAAACTAATACAACTGCTGTACTTGGCAAGTTTGGGGATTCACTGGTGCCCTTAAGGAGAGCAATTTCAATGGAGCCACAGCAGGGAAAGCCAGTGTGTAAAGGTTGAGGAATAAATGGGAGGTAGGCAAGTAAAGACTGTCAGCGTTTCCAATTCTTCAGGAACCTTGACCCTGAAAAGGAAGGAGAAAAAGAGGTCCACAGCTAGAGTGGATGGTAGCATTAAGGCAGGTTTTGTTGTTTTTTAAAGAGAGGTGGGTCCCAAAAAGAGGGAACATTCTACAAAATTAATGGCTTGCACTTTTCAAAAATGTCAGTGGAGGTATTGTTTCAGATAAAAGATGACAAAAAGTCATGACAACTGAATGCTACACAGGATCTAGGATTTTCTTTTGCTGTGAAGGACACCACTGAGACAACCGAGCAAAAAGAATAAGGTCCACAGCTCAGATAACAGTACTATATCACTGTTAACATCCTGATTTTGATAATTTTATTGTAGTTATATAAGAGAATGTCTTTATCTTTAAAGTATTTAGGGGTAAATAAGCAGCATGTCTGTAACTTATTCTCAAATGGTCCAGAAAAAAAGTTTATACACACACACACATACACGCACACACACAACATACAAGAATACTTAGTATTATTTTTGTAAGAATTCTTACATTCTTTCCTATATGTCTGAATAAAAGTTAAAAGCAGAGAGAGGGAGGGAGCGGTCTTTTCACAGCATCCCTGACTGAGATAAGACTCACCATCATATACAGGCTTGCTCCAAGGTGACCCCCAAAATGCCTGAGTTCCCTTCCCGACTGTGAGCACCAGGGAGGACGTGCCTCAGAAGCCTCATCAGTAAAATGATCACCAAATACTCTATACCCTGTTAAAATGCTACCCAAGAAAGACATGCACAAGAGCAGAACCTGGGAAGTGTCCTAGTCCTGGGACACCTTTACTTACCTGTGGATGACAACATCTTTCTGCTGCCCTACTCGGTAAATTCGGTCACAAGCTTGATCTTCCAGTGATGGATTCCTGGTGGGAGAGAGGTAAAGCTCAAAGATACTGACATCCCAGGTGAGGGGTGGCCAAATCGAATAGGCCAACCCAGCTCATGGCCTGTTTTCATATGGCACTTGAGCTAAAAATGATTGTTACTTTCTTAAAGCATTGTAAAAACAAGCAGACAAAACTCCACAACGAAAAATATGTGAAAGAAAACTTTGTAGCCCGCAAAGCCTAAAATATTTACTATCTGGACTAAAATATTTACAGAAAAAGTTTGTCGGTCCCTGTCCTAGGCTATAGTGGCCTCAGAAAGGCTAGTGTCAGGTATCTTCTTACCCTTTAATGAGAAAATAGGGTCAGATTGCTAATAATAACTCAGCACTATTACCAGTTGATAACTATAAGTACCAAAGGTGAAACTAATATATGGAGGAGGCAAGGGAACGAAAATATTAAATCCAGCTACATTCAGAGACTGCACTATGCGGATTGTCCCTGCAGCCGGACCACGAGGAAACCTGCAGAACAAAGGGAGAGTTCTGATGGGACTGCTAACAACCCATTCCCCATCTGGGAAAGGAAAAGAGGAAAACAGAATCTTTAAGTCACACCCTACACAAAATAAAATCACTCATTCCCCATGGCTAAAACCACGAGAAACCTATAGATGAAAGGCTGGGATCTGCCAGCAGGCCTTCCACGCTACACACTCATCCTTCTCACTGTATGCCCACACTATCAACGGAAATAATAGTTTTAAAACTGTAATTCATAGAAACTAAGAATAATATATAAACTGAATTGCCGAACACTCAGGGTCCCCCTCAGTGTCTTTTCTCTGTCCCTCTCACTGTCACTGTGTCTCTATGTCCCTCTGAGTCTCTCGGGCTCTCTCAATCTCTGCCTCTGAAAGGAGACACACTCTGTCTATGGAGCGTAACCATTCTCTAATGAACTTTCTTTTAGACTCTAACTCTGGTGTATGAATTCTTTCTCATGCTCAGCACAGAACTCTCCCTCCCTCCCTCTCTCGCAGTGCAGGGCTTGAATTCACCCCCAACTCAGGGAATCTGCCCTGACCTGCTGTCAGAACCAACACTCAAATATGGTCACTAACTAGCTGGATGACCTTGGACAACATATCTAACCTCAACCCCCTATGCTTCAGAGTGCTACTTGGAAACAAATACCTTTTTCAACTTACATATTCTGTGATTCAACAGAATCAGGAGACAATTTGTTTCCTTCTCTATAGGTTCTCATTATCAATTCCAAACTAGTTTCTCTTCTTACCTCTTTAAAATCTTATGTAACATTTCTCCATTTCAGAAAAGAGCACATATAGAGGAGTCCCAAGTAAGACCCAAACACGTCCACCTGGAAGATAATGGGTTGGCCAGTCTGTGCCCATCTGGGCTGCCTGGAGAATCAGACCAACGTGCAGCACTCCCTCACTGGCGAAACTGGAAAACCCCAAACTGGGACTAATTATGACACTATCTCCTAACAGCACACTAACTCATTTATCTCATTTCCAGGAAGGATGCTATTACACTTTCGGTGTTGACACTACACATGAGGCCAGGGGCTGCATGTTAAGCGTATTCCTAATACAATCAGAACATTCCTCTGCCTTTCCTTTTGGAGTAACGCTTCCTCCTCTTTTCCAGGGTTGAGATTTCCTTGGATGTCAACGAATATACCTGAAATATGGTATTCTGAAGAGGTAGAACTGAGCGATGTCGCTCTTAGCCATGAGGTAAAGCCCTGCTCCCAGTTTCCATGGAAACAGATGTGAGATTAACAATAAAGTGAATGGACTATTTTAAGTAGTCGTTTGAAGCCCAGCTTGCTCAGGAATTCAGGGCTGTCAACTAGCGTATAGATCTGTATCTATACGCATGTGTGCATAGCAGCATCCCCACAACGCAAAAAGAGCAGAGCCTGCTGGTCTCCCTGCTGTGCTGTGACAACTCAAGAAAAATCCAGCATCTTTACCAGTGCATATCCAGAAGAAAAAGATGGTTTCCTCCAGTCAAGTTTAGACCAACACCTCCAGCCAAGAGAGAGATCAGCATAACCTTCAGAAGAAGAAAACCATTAACTTTATACAGATTTGGTCCCATTCATAATACATTTCTCCTTCTGTCTCAGCTTCAAGCCCAAGATCAATACAGATAAGTGTCGTGTTCCTATCAAATTTCCTTCTGCTGTCACAAATGCACTGTTTTGAAACTCTGAGATGCTATCTCCCATGCCTCCCCTCTGAGAAAATTCTCACTTCACATTTTTTGGTGAGTCAACCTCAAAACGTTAATTGTGTGCCTGCCAAAATATATGAGTACTACAATTTAGAGCACTGAGTGAGGGTGGTTAGCACAATAACCTTTCCTGTAACCAGACTGTCTCTGCCATCAGTCCCTGCACCCGCACCCCACCCGCACCCCCACCCCGCCCCTGCTGTGATTCTCCCATCACTCAGCTAACGCTTTCCAAATATTCATCCTCCCTAATTAGATGCCTTTGTTCTTCCACTTCCCTCTGTACTTCCTCGTACCAAAATCCCACCTATTCTTCAGGCTTGCCTCCTCCACCAAGATTTTCTTGGTTCTAACCAGCTCTACTCTTACTCTTTTAGTTAGCCCTCATATTTTATTCTCTTTAGAGTATTTGCACACTTCGATATGTACCCCCATAAATGTCTAATACATTAAAAACACCTGGAGGGATCAAAGCTGTGAATATATTTAAATTGAGCTGTCTTATTAGAATTCTCTCTGTATAACTAAGAACAATTTGCTCTTAATTATAGAACCCTGATGTGACCAGCTCGTACCTGAGGGCCCCCGGCGTTGTTAAATGCCTCTACCAAGTCCATTCTCTGTTTGGGGTTGACAGAGCCATCGATGGTGGCATAAGTCAGTCTGTGCCTCTTCAAGTGCAAGGCTACAACTTTTAGCATGCTGGTCCACTGAGAGACAATGACACTGGAAGGAAGGAGAAAACAACCCACCAACCCCCCAGGCAGGTTAAATAAACTCATCCACGGGGCCCTAATCCCACTGTTATTTTTAAGCTTCAGTTATCAAATGTGGACAGGAAAGGCCTTCTGTTATCTGAGGGGGAAAGGTACGCACTTAGGCCATGTTTTAAGATTATAATGTGACTAAACTGTGACATTTTAAAAAAAGATTACAGCACTTCCAGTCGTTTCCAGATCCCGTCTACAATTCATCTTGTGCTAAATGAAGTCAGGATAAAGTGGTGGCTGGACTGCAGCAAGAACTGCGGCCTACTATTTGGGGGCCTTGGGTTCATTCAGGGGACACTGTGATCCTGCAGAAAGGGGACACTGTGATCCTGCAGAAAGGGGACACAGGCCACCCTCCCCTTGCCAGTCAGAACAGCAAGCTGCTAGGACTTCTCTACTTCTTCCTCGCAAACCCCTCCTCCTCAAGCTATGTTTTAATTAGAGTTTTAAGTTTGTAGATCAAAATATTTCATATTTGCAAATGCATGTTTATACCACACATGTAAGTTGTAACAAACAACAAACAGACCTCCTTATATCCGTGCACCCCTGGAACTGTGGGGCTCCCTGTCTGCCCACACTCCTCTCCCTCTGTTTTACATCTGTTACTCCCTTGCTTTTCTTTAGATACTTCTCTACTTTTAAATATTTCTTTGAATGCTTAGATTACTCTGGTCCTCTAGAGAGTTCCTTTCCAATCAGTGCCACAAATATTTTAGTTAGAAATCCTAGGGAATCTGTGCTATAAACCAGTGCTTTCTGCTTAGCATGACTCAAGGTCCTTGACATAAAAAGCTAAAATTTGTAACTATCAGCAATATCACATTTTCTTGCTCAATTAATTACAAGCGATACTTGGATAATGAAATAACACATTTACCTCTTTTGAGACGCTGAATTTCTTCGGATTGCCTCCAATTCTGCCAACAGGGATGAAATCTGAAAAAAGGTTGTACTGACATCAGTAGGTTTAAGCCCTTTTCTGCATTATCCCTCACCTGAATTACTGCAGCAGTCTCCCGGACGGCCTCTCTGCTCCTGGTCTTACCCTTCTCTACTCCACTGCAGCCCGAGGACTCTAAAACGTTGTTTGTCACTCCTCCAGTGCATAAGCCCTTGAGTGGCCTCCCACTGAAGGCAGAGCCCCAGCTCCTTACAATGCTCTGTGCTGCTCTAGGTGTCCAGCCCCAGCTCTCACTATGCCCTCCTCAGAGGACACTCCAGTCACACCAACACTCTTCCTCCGCTAAGCCAAGCTTTGTCTCACCTTTGTCTATTCTATTCCCTCTGCCGAGAACACTCTCATGTGTCAGCTTGATGTCACTTCTTCTGGGGAGTCCTCCCGAGCCTCCAAAGTATAGGTTAGGTGCCACTGCCCACGTGCTACTACAGCACCTTTTGTCCCGGTTATCAAGGTCTTTTTCGCACTATGTTTGAATTGCTTATTTAATCACCTTTTGCTTTGTGCCTTGAGATGCTCCAAAGAGGCACAGCCTGCATAGGTCCGGTTCATTTCTGTCCCCCTCACACCCAGCACATTAGTGGACCAGTGAAGGTACTATCCTAACATCTGTGACAGGAGAAAGTGAGAGCTGAACCTAGTTTAAGTCCTGTCCCACATGGTGCTGAAGAAGAGGCCGTGCTGAGACTGAGCAACACCTGCCACAGCTTCCAAACAGGTCCTCTGGATTATTTATCAGAACTGGTCAGGGCACATCTGAGGCCACCCGGGACCAGTCGGTCAGAACACATGGGCATGACTTCGGACAGCAGCTCATTCTTCTCGACTACTAATGTGAATGACCTTTCAAAAACCTCCAAGGGCCCCAGAGTTCATCCCTAGACTGGTCAGGAGGCAGGAAACTAGACCAGGAATCAGCGAATGATGACAGTTCTCACTCTGCCATCACAGGACTGGATCACTTCAGGTCCAGTTAAGAGCTCGGATTCCTCGTCAGTGAAAAAGGACTGCACAGATGAACTCTGAGGCAGCCTCGGCACTCACATGCCACGCTGCTGAGGTCCCCACACACAAGGCTGCTTTCCAATCCTAACAAACATGCTGATGCTGGACAGGAAGTGAGTCACAGGCCTGTACCATTTTAAATTAGTAGAAAGAAAAAAAGCAGGTACATGAGGTATGTGGTGTCTTGGCCACTTGAGTGTGGAAAGTGTTCTGGCTGCCACATGAAAAAGTTGGTGACAAAGAAATCCAAAAAATAAAAGGAAGAAAAAGAAAAAGCTGGTAATAGGTATTTTGAGAAAACTGTAATGGAAAAACAGGATCCATGGTCCCTAAGCTGGGGTCAAATTCCAGTAACATGCCGCACGAGCTCAGGTTTACATTAGCAAAGAAAACCCCCCCATCTATAGATGAATGGATGCAGATACATGATGGAATATTACTCAGCCAGAAAAAAGGATGAAATCCTGCCATTTGCGATAACATGGATGGGCCTAGAGAGTATCATATTAAGTGAAATAAGTCAGACAAAGACAAATACCACACGATCTCACTTATACATGGAATCTAAAGAACAAAATAAATGAACAAACAAAATGAAACAGATTCACAGATACAGAGAACAAACTGTTGGTTGCTAGATAGGAGGGGGGTTAGGGGCTGGGTGAGAAGGGTGAAGGGATTAAGTACAAATTGGTAAGTACAAATGTGATGTGCAGCATAGGGAATATAGTCAATAATATGGTAATAACGATAGTGCCAGGTGGGTATGAGACTAACCAGGGAGATCACTTCGTAAATTATGTAAACGTGTAACTTCTACGATGTACACCTGAAACTAATACAAAATACTGACTGTCAACTCTAGTAAAAAAATAAACATTTTAAAAAAATTAAAAGAGAAAGAAAACTGCCTTCCCTACATGAAACTCTAAGTGATGTGAGCTGCTATGAATAGACTTACATTAAGAAGCCTTGTGAATAAATATTTCCCAAGCGCTAGACAAAACTACGAACTACTCAGAGTCTAAGTTTTAACCCAGCGGCTGACTGGAGGCGCAGGACAGGCCTCCGGCCACCTGTGGAGCTCTTCTTGTGTTTCTCTCGGTTGGTGGTACAGACCTAGGTAAATGCTTCAAAAATTAATTAAAAGTAATTCTTAAGTAGCACCATCTCCTTGGCAGTGACCCCTTTCCAGTTACACTTTTTAAAAAGCCTTTGAAGGGAGCGGCTGAGGCCAGGAACGGGCTTAAGATGAAAGGCAGGACTCCAGTTACAGTGCATCTCCGCCTCCCTCCAACAGGGCTTTTCAGCCTCACAAAGTTTTAATGGAAGACCCTTACTTTTATTCATGAGATAAAATAAGAATTTAAGACTGGAGAGAGAACTCGACCAGCTCATATCAAACAGTTCTAGCTCTGCCACCAAATGGTTGTGCCCACTTGCACCAACGTAGCACTCTCGCACAGAGAAATGTGGGGAGTCAGAGTCGCTCTGCTAGAACAGAGGGGACAAAGTACCTTGGTGCTCTCTCTCGTGTCTTCAAAAAGCTCCACCTTGAAGCATTCGCCATTGAGGCAAACAGTGGACGATGGCTCTGAGTTCTGGAGTTCAGACAAGGTCAAGGCACCGAGCTGTTCCTCCAGGGAGAGCAGCAGACCTTGGCTCCTCAGTTCTGTCGGATCCAAGGCCTGAGCAGGAGACAGAGAGGGGATGGGAGCTGGGGGCCCCAGAGGAGGCAGCAAGCCATATCACTTGCTGATGAAGTGCTGACTGTTTAACACTCCACACAGCAAAATGTCTTCTAATCTGTCATTGGTATCTCCTCACGGAAGCCCTGATTAAAATATAATCTTGCAAGATTTTTCACCAGATTAAAGATGAATCAAATGATGGAACATTTTTAGAGACTTGCCAGACAGATGACATAACTATTCCTCTTCCCTGGTGGAGGAGCACAGGTAAGTAAACTACTGATAATCAAGACACATCACTATAACCCCATAAGAGACAAACATGCTCCTCTTAATGGATGTGCCCCTCTCCCACGTGAAGGCGACTTTTCCAGTTGCATAAATACTGGAGATTTTCTAACTAGTCTTAAAAGCCCCAACATTGCCTAAAGGCAGAAAAAAAAGTTAACTAAATTAGCTTTATGATATACTAAAATACCAAATCATTTATAAATAGTTTCCTTTTTAACAAAATGCCATTTTCCATTCTTAAAAAAAAAGCTTATTTAAAACAAAACAATAAAAACTATTCTCAACATCAGGGGAATTATCAAGATCAATAAAGGTTAATATAGAATAAAGTAAAATTAAAAAGCCCTCTCTTTCCTGCCCCACCAAAACCCCAAACAACCCCAAATCCCATATTCCCTGATCCAGCAGACTGGAGCCCAGTTGCAGGAGACCGAAATGGACTTCCCCAGCAGCCTCTCTAGGGCAGGGGTCCTCAACCCCCGGGCTGTGGATCGGTACACCACACTGGCCTGTTAGGAACCAGGCCGCACAGCAGGAGGTGAGTGCTGGGAGAGTGAGCGAAGCTTCATCTGTATTTGCAGCCGCTCCCCAGTGCCGGCATCACCACCTCAGCTCCACCCCAGATCATCAGGCATTATATTCTCATAGGAGCACCCGTCTCTGGTGCCAAAAAAGTTGGGGACCAAGCTGAAGGCTTTTCTTACCGACTTCAGTAAAGAAAGATGACAGCAACATTGACGGAGTCTCAGCAACTGTGACAAAATGTGGACGGTGCTGGACCTTGGTGCTTCTGCTGCCACAGGCCCGCTTGACCCAAACTCCAGTGCCACTTCCAAGAAGGAAAACAAACCACAGGAAACAGTACAGGGTTTAAAACTGAGAAATATGAGGATGAATCGGGAACTTAATGATGTTATTTTAAACTTCTATGATCTGAGATTCAATAACAAAGTTACAACTCACTTCTATGTCAATTAAGCCAAATGAAATACTAGTTTTCTTTATAGACCTCCTTGCATTTAATAGAGATTTTGAAAATCATTAAAAAGAAATTTAGATCACCAAGTCTGGTGCTTGCAGATCAGTATATTTTACTTTGGTCCAAGGTTCCTTGCTATAAGGTCAGGTCTCCGATACCAAGAATGCACAGCATCCCATTGCTGTAATTTTATGAATCTGAACGCACATTTTCATCAGTATTTATGTACAACCCACTGCTTACCTCTATTGAAAGGATCATCAGAGTTTCGTCCAGATTTGTTACCTCCACTTTCCTGTCTGTTTAGATAGGATTGCAGAGCTGACCTGCCTCAGATCAAAAAAGAAAATGTACATATAATGTTTGCTAAGACCAAATAAGTTGACAACAGTCATTGCTTAACTGTGCTTGTAGCAGGACCTTCAAAAATTATAAAAGTGGCCTTGTTAAATGACGTCAGGCTCTTAGCAAGCACTGGCCAAAAGCGATGAAAAATAATTATTTAAAAAAAATTATTTTAAAATAATTAACAAATTAACATACTAATATAAAATATACTTAATATTAATATACAACGTACTAGTACGTTGATATTATGGTAAGTATATTATTATTTATTGATAAATAATAAACCTAAGGTATACGAAGAGGAAAAACATTCATGTTAGAAGTGAGAGGTACCACGTGGGCGAGAATAAATCTGGAACTCAGGGAAGGAGAAGAGTTTCAGAGAAAGTGGAAAGAACAGATGACAAAAAAGATTACAGAGCAGTTTTTTTTTAAGTTCCAATGAGATGCTGGATAAAGTTCAAAGGTCAGAGATATAATTTCCCAACACAGCCCTGTGAGGACCAGACAGACCGTGCTCAGTGACCACACCCTAGCACTTCTATGCAAGAAAGCCAATGAAGGACAGGCTCGAAAGCCTTCAATGTGTATAGGGGACGAAGGTGAGCCAGGAAGAGGGTAAGGAATGAGAAAGAGAGATTATAAAAAAGAAACACTGATATCCAACTTATCAATGCCACCATAAATACGGTTGAGAAAAACTTGGCCCTTGACTCACTCCCAAGCAAGGACAGGAATACAACACATGTGAGAAGGTGCTTCTTCACTGCACACACCTTGATCTTGCAAAAAGGACACTGTACACAGTCTCTTCATCTTCAGAAAGCTTTAAATGATGCAACTGATACTTACGCTGGGGCAGTATCACCTGGAAAAGGAAAAGGAAAAAGCAGCTAGGATTAAGTCATAAAATTAACTGGATATTACACAGTAAATTCTCAAGAGTTGACGCTGGAAACCTAGTTACACCTGGACGGCAGCTTCCACCCTTCCCTAAAGACAGGACAGCCCAACAGGACCGCCATGCCACAAGGCACAGGACAGCGAGCCTAGTGCCTCCTCATAGGAAGACGGGAGACTCGGAGGCTCCTGAAGCAAAGCAGATGGCCGTTTAACCCAAGACAGAGCACGGCCGCCCTCCTCCCCAGCCTCCCCTGTGGACACACATGAACGATATTACCAGGGGCTTGCCAGCAGAGTCCAGCTGCTCCTTCGTTCTCCTCAGCAAAAGGCTCTTGGTTAAAATACTTAACCGTTCTCCTCCTTTCTTTGAACCATTGTCAACCTGGCTCTTCCACAGATTGTAATCATCAAATGGAGAACAGCGGAGAAATCTTTTTGGTTGGGGAAGAAGGACAGAGAGTAGGAAAGGAGAAGTATGGGAGGATGGAGTAAAGGTTCAAAGAAAGACATAAGATGATAAAACAAATCAGATTATCTGTTACACTGTCATGCAATCATTTTTAAAGGTGAATTTCATAGCAAAGCTCTGCTAGACAGATCAAAAGGATCTAAGTCAATAACAAAAATCACATTATAAAAATGTGAATGTTTCCTGTTAATGATGTCTGCATCATCACAATAGGACATTAACTAATAGCTAGAATTTATTCATAAAGTTTCAAAAGGCTAGCAAAGAAATCCTGTATCTTCTCATAGGTTGACTTTAATAAAAGCAAATGTTTTAAAAATCAGCATTCTTTTCTGTTCGCTGCAAATAAATTGTAGTTCTGACTTCATGCCATATCTCTTAAAGCAGAAGTAGCCCAAAATATTCTCAGGGCTGAAGAAAGATAACTTTGTTTTCATTAATTTAATCTGTCCTGTATTTTTCCATATATAGTGGCTGAATGTAATCAAAGTCCTATTATCAGCCCATCAATCAAAGGCTTCTTTTTCTCATCAATATTAATTCTTCTGCCCTTTAAAGGGTGACAGGCTTGCCATCTGCTACATGAGATAATCTGACACACACCGGAGCTTCATCATGAGATATGAAATAATTATAAAAGGTTACTGACAGGAATCACATTTACATAATCGCAAAGAGTTTACTCACTTTAACAGTGAATACATGTCCAACAGGTTGTTCTGAATGGGGGTTCCAGTGACAGCCCAACGGGCACGGGCCTGCAGCTTACACACAGCCATGGACGTCTGCACTCGGGGGTTCTTAATGTTGTGGGCTTCATCCAGTATGATTCGAGCCCAGACTATTTGAAGCAAAGGTGTCGAGATACCCTGGAAGAAACACCAGTAGAATCCAACAACAGAAAATGTACACATCTTCGAGAAGATAGGAAAAATAACAAGCATTGAGGAGTCACTCTTAGCTTCAAGCTTGAGAGTACACTGAAGTAAGCATTAAGCTTAAGAAACCAAGACTGGAAACTCTCAATAAACAAGTCACTTGAGAGTCTCAATATTTAAGCTTAAGAGGCTTTAGAATAAAATGTTTTCTAATTTGAGTTTTCAATTTATTCTCTCAACCCACTTTCAAGCAATGGCTATGGGTCAGGACTACAGCAGGCGTCAAGCCTACAAATTCACTTGTTCAATAAAATATTTACTAAATGTTAACTAAATTTACAAGGATTCACTAAGAGTCTACTTTGATATGTAAGATACTACGCCAGACACAAGGGACAGTTTCTACCCCCAAGAAGCTCACAGTCTAACTGGGGAGAAAAACAAGATAACTTCAAACAGTACATATATAGTAAGTGCCACTGGATAACTCAATATATGACAGTAGGAATCCAGTCAGTCAGGTCCAGTGCTGTATCCTTAATATCTGAAAGGAATCTGGCACGTGGTGGATGCTCAATATGTGCTCAGTAAATGCAGTGCTGTGACATGAGTCAACACGAGGTGCTAGGAGATGTATTTAAGCAAACGGGGAGGCAGGCATTCCACGCAGAGGAAGAACAAAGGCACAATAGCATGACACAGCGTGGCGGAGCAGTACACATCCCGTGGTATAGCTGAGCACGAGGGACCGGGGTGTAGGTGATGAGGGATAAGTAAGTAGGGCAAGGTCATAAAAAGCCTAATAGATCATGTAAAAAAAATTAAGGTTTTATCCTGAAAGGAATGAGGATCTACTAACGAATCTGCAAAGTTAACCATTTGCAAGAAGTCAGAGTTGGAGATCTCGCCATATAATCTGTGAATATCTTATGGAACCCAAAATAAAAACATATGCAAAAGATGAGTTCCTGGAACAACGCAGTAGTTTCGGGAAAACAAAGCCTCACAGTCACTATGCAATAAAGCTTCTTCCCTAGAGAAATGAACCTTCCTTGGGTGTGCAGTAAACATTCAGGGTTTTTCCCTGGTTATCATTTAGCCTCTGGCTCATCTATTGCCTTATTATTTCAACCCCTTTTCCTGGGAGGTAAAGGGAGGCAGGGAACGATGGCTTAATACCAAAATACTAATACTAAAATACTAGTCTTCACACTAAATATAAAACACATCCTGAGATTTTATCACAAAGACTAAAATAAAAACTGCGACAATCATGTGATTACCAACAAAATTTCAATGTAGTTATTAGTTCTAAAAACAGCCAAATACTGTGCCAAACCTTGACCTCTGTCACCAAGGAGGTTATCTAGAATTAAAGAGAAAGAACAGAGGAGGGAACACTTCATTTTCATAAATTTAGGACACTCCCACCCCTATAGGAGAGTAGCACTGCTTTCTCTGATGCTGTGACAGGACTCCTGCTAAAAGACATGTGGCTCGCCCTCTCTATCCCCGGCAGCCCTCTGCCTCACCTCCTCACTGAGGTTTGAGACTGCGACTTCTCCCTCGTGCTTCTTCATGGGGATCTCCTTGGCCAGAAGGCTGTAGGTGGTGATGACGATGTCGTATGTAGAGAGGCTGTGTAGATACAACACAATGCGAATGGTAAAAAATCTCTTTGTGACTGACAAGGAGAGGCAGGGTTGATTGCTTTATAAAAATGCCTATGGCTGGAAGGACAGAATTCATTAACCTATGTCCTGGGTCTACACACAAGATTTTGGAAAGGCAAACTTTACTCACTTGGCTTATCTCCTAACTCTGATAATTTTCACAGTCTACTCACTACAGCTAGAATGGCCTCCCTCTTCCCATCCAATGAGTCAGAAAGGAAAATCAGCTGGGGTCCTATTAACTTTGATATGATCAGGCCAGAACGGAATGTAGGGAAGGGATGGGAACTAACATTTAGTAATGATTTGACGTAGACAATGATATAAGCCCCAGGGAAGTAAGAAAGTCTCAAAGAACTGTTGGCCTTTCATCAATGATGCTTTCTCCTCTTTGTTCTATAATGGATTTGTAAAAACCCATTAATCTAGCTTTGACATTTAGGTATAAACTTTCAGTTTACTTTGCCTACAATCTTTACATGTAAAGATTCTCACCAAAAGGCATAAATCTTTTTCCAATGAAGCTTACTATTGTGCACCTGAGAGAACTTCAAAAAATACTTTTGATAAAAATAATGTGCCTAATTCAGACAGGCAGCCATGTCCCTGTGTGGCCATCTTAGCATCGTATAAAGAAGTGTGACTGTCATCTAGTCCAATCAGTCAACCAGCCCATTGAATACCAAACCAGGTATGATCGAAGTGCAAATCAAGTGAGATGCAATTTATTTCTAAATAAGAATCTAGAACAAAGGCAGGCCACTTACAGTACTCTATGCCTGAAGGGTCACTAATCTGGCAATTTACCCATGAAAGACTATTGCCCCGTTCTCTAGGAGATAAAATTTCTAGTATCAGAAATTGGGGAGAGAGATTTCATAGAAGCAGAAACGATTCTGTTCTTCACTAGATCAGCAAGTATTCAACCCAGACCACCACATCACAATTAGGAAAAAATAACGATTCCTTTAAAACCAAAAGACAAAAACTAGGACTAAAATTACCACCTGGGGAAACATTTTCTTTTCTGCTTCCTGATCATCTCTCTTCAGTTAGGTCTAATCCTAAACTCTTGAATTTAAAACTTCTTAGATTGTTCATATATGAAAAATACAGTCATAAAAATATAACCAGCCTATCAACTAATCATTAGTCTTATATTAAGATACTCTGAAAGACTGAGCTGGTTCCATTTACACTAACAGAAAAAGAATGTGAATTTGGAATCAGAAATTCAGCAATCCTGGAATAATTGTGACATATCCTCTTTCATCAGGGGAATGCTGCTGCTACCAGCTGACATCTCAGGCCTCCTCATCCAGCAGCTTTTGTTGGGGACAGTGACAAAGGTATAGCAAACGAATGCTTTGTTCTCTCAAGAGGTATGTCTTTGCACAGGTGAAGGCTGTTTGGTGATGACGCTGTGACGGTGACTTTGGTCTTCACAATAAACTTAGTCGAGACTGAATAACATCTCTGGGAAGCAGGTATGGTCACTATGGCCTCTGAAGCCTAGAGAGCGAGCGCCTCCTGCCGACCGCGCTTTCTGTGCACTTACACTCCTGCACGCTGATCCCGGCTTGGCCCATGATAGAGACAGACTCTTAGTTTGTTGTAGCTCACACGTTTCTCCACCTCCTTTTTCCAATGATGGATCAGGGAAGCAGGACAGATGATAAGTGTTCCATGGGAAATAAATTCAGTGGTGTCTTCAAAGAAGGAAAAAATCAACACCTAGTTATACTCATTAAAGAGCTTTTAACTTCTTAAAAGCAATACCTCTATCTTCTGTATTCCTTCAATCAGTATTTTTAACAACTGCTGCTCTTACAGTAGAACGAGAAATGAAAGAGATGGTCTTTTAACTCAAAACACCTAATTACTTCTTTATTTTCCCCTAGAAAAGTGTCAGACTGACTAAAGAGGGAAAAGTGGGTGGTACATGACCTCAGTCTAAAAAAAAAAAAAAGCAATGCACTTTCACAGCGGCCAGAAGGTAGAAGCTGGATCATTTCCCAACTCGTCCTGAGCTGATTCATTACAGGGAATCTTTTTTTTTTTTTTCCAGAAAAGCTTAACTTAATTACATCCACATTAAAATATAAGTTAAAACCCCTAAGATAAGCAAACATTACTTTGGAACCAGTCAGTGATGGAGTATTTGTACCACTGCCCCCTCACCCCTGGGTGGGGGTGTGTGTGTGCGTGTGCGCACGCGCTGCTACTCCACACAGGGACACGGGATCCAGCTGCAACAGTGGTCATCAGGGGTCCCGACAGCACACGGTCACAGATTTTAACTATGTAGCCAACTGAGAAATGTACTAGTGTACATGGCAACTTACGTGTGGTGTTGTCTATATACAATACATTGGATCTTTACATACCTAGACAGTTATTACATTTTAAAAACAGAGGTTGAAATACGATAGAAATTGTCTAGAATCTAGAAACTTCTGGAATTTCAGAAACATGGAAAACAGCTTCTGCTATGGTGGTTGAAATCTGAATTCATAACAGATCTTCCTTAAAAAAATAATATATTAATTAATTTGGATCCACCCTGTAGTGTTATCCTCAACATTAACAAAAATAATCATTACTTATGTTTAAGTCTTCTAGAGCCTTATCTTTTTCCATAAAAATTTTCTAATCACAGATTAAGCTAAGTTTATATTAAAAGGGAAAAATGATCACTTATAATTGGCATATTCAGCATCAGAAATGATACCATAGAAAGTAGTTCAATATGTGATTTCTAATTAAATAGATTAATTAAATAGGACCAAAAATGGCCTTTTATAGCTTAAGTTTCCACTCCCTCGGGGCTCAAATGGTTTAGCAAATGGCAGGCTACAAAGGCACTTGAATACCATCTTTGGAAAGCCAAGTCAAGGCCGTGGTTTTGTCCTTTTCTTTGTCTTCCTCTTGATTCTTCTGGGTCAGAATGAGTGCAATCATTGTCAGGGTTTTTCCTAAGCCCATATCATCCGCTGAAAATAAAAACAAAAACAAGAGTTGATTACATAGGGCAAAGAATCAGCTCAGCTTCAAGAGAAGAAACCGCTGGCAGACACTTACCCCATGCTCCCTTTGCTGCCAGTGTCATTTCTGGCACTATTCTTTGCCTACCCTAATGAAGCCGTCATTTTTCTTATTTAAATGAACGCTAGCTCTTAAATATTTATTGAGATCTAGATCAAAAGCATCTACTGTGACTTTTGTAAAACCGAAAACTCATTTAGACCTTATTCTAGTTCTACAGTACTTTCCTAATGTGTTCACTGATATCTATCTCAGTTTGAAGATGTTACCCGCCAAAAGCAGCAAGACCCAGTAGATAGATCTCAGTACCCACTTCACTGGTGCTTCCACATTTCTGGAGTTAGAATGAACTCAAAACAGCCTCTACTCCCTTAACTCATTCATTAGAGAGGGGCATAAATTAACATTTCTTGGGTACACGCATTGTGCCAGTCACCAAACTTATCTAATTTACAAGTTATACCCTATACAATATCATCCTCATTTTAACAGGTAATCATTCTGACATAAGTAGAAGAAAAATGCCCCAGCATGAGTTCATATTCTAGTTCAAATTCTCACTCTGCCACTGTGCAGAAAAAGAGTAAACACAACGGGCCTGACTACTATCCTTTGAAAGCCCTGCTTACAAGGTTGGCCCTTGCCTGATGTCTGGGAACTTGGATTTAACCCTTTTGTTTAGAAAAAAAAAATGCAGCTTGCTGCAAGCGCTCATTTAACATCACGAGTAGGATGTTTTAATGAATGCTACGTTCATTTAACATCACGAGTAGGATGTTTAAATGAATGCTACGTTTTCTAGGATGGACATCTTTAGCGATTGAACTACTAAAAACAGAATGCTACAAAAAGAATGATGTCATTTGTTTCCAAAGACTACTAATAAACTAGAGCGATACAAAAATAATGATAAAAGAGAGACATCTCATGGCAAATTTGGGGGATAAGGTTAGGACTGTAACCTGTGAGTTACCTCGGGGTAAACGCTGTAGCCGCCAGTGCTACAGGCAAGTATTCTTGTGGCAAATAAGAAAAGGGTTAAGGAAGGTTCCCACCATTCCCAGAACTGCTAAGAGTGGTTCCCTCTGCCTAACCTGTTTATACGAACAATATGATTTGTGCTAAACACCTTCTAGAAGTACGGAGTTTAAGTATATAAAAGGCTGAAGCTGCCTATGTGACCAGCCCCCAAGAAAAACCTCAGGCACTGAATCTCTAACGAGCGTCCCTGGTTGGCAACATTTTACATGTGTTGTCATATCTCGCTGCTGGGGGAAATAAGTATGTCCTGTGTGAGTCCATGGGGAAAGCCCCTGGGAGCTTGAGCCTGCTTCTTTTGGCCTTTGCCCCACGTGCTTTTTCCCTTTGCTGATTTCGATTTGCATTAAATCAAAAAAATTTTATTATTTCTTAACTGGGTAATAAATTATAGCCATGAATATGACTATATACTCTGTGTCTCCGTAGCAAATCATCAACCCTGGGGGTGGTCTTGAGGAAGCCACTTACTAGCCACAGTGGACATTGTCATGTTTTCTAGAAGTTGAACACTTCAGGAAATTTTAGTTTGATGAGTCCCCAGAGCAGAACCAGAAAAACTGGCTTTGCAGGCTCCCCTACAGCCACCGGCACAAGCACTGGCACAGGCACCGGCAGCATGACCTGGCTCCACAGACCACATGTCCTCACACACAACTTCGATCCAGATGCAAACAATACGAGAAAAGAGACTCCCTGAGAAAGCCTTCTGCAAGAAGGGGTGAAGACAGTGTGTCCGACTTTGGGGTGGCAGTGCTTTCCTCTAGTGCCCGACGGAGCAAAGCCGCCATGGCAGTCTCCCATAGACACTCAGTTTATCACTTGTCTTTGGCCATTGCTCTTGCAAGTCTGGCCTCCAGCCCGGGTCTCTACCTCTCCCAGAGACCTGTGGGCTACCACAGAATAAACTGTCTCTGCTTAACCGGCCACAGTCAGCCTTGCTTTGCAGCCAAGACCTGACTGATCCTACAGCTGAGTACTCTTGAGCGTGTTGTTTAATCGTTCTATACCTCAGTTTCCTCATCTGTCAAAGGGGGAATCAAGAGAGTTGCCCCATAGTTGTGGAGAAGATCAAATGAAACAATGCATTTGTTGGCTCTTACCATTATATCAGACTTACCCAGAATTCCTCCTTGTGGCTTCTGACTTTCTCGCCATAGTAACCAGGCTAATGCTTGCTTCTGGTGCAGCAGTAAAGGGACCTAACAAAAGTAATCACTGAGAGTTAAGTCTAAAATCTTCATGAGAGGCTCTCCTGGACCCTGGCTACAGACTCCTCACCCTGCTCTTTTATTTTCTCTAAGTGGTCCTCCCAGTATTCCAGTCGCATAAGCCGCCTGCTTCACCTTGAAGTCCGTGACTCCATCCTCACCTGGGGTAACCACGCATCCTGATCTGGCCAGGACAGTGGTGATTTACACCTGTTGTCCAGCATATCTAGCAAGAGCCCCTCCTCTCACCCTCAAGTGAGTCCTGGTTTCTCTGGTTCATCAGCCAAAGTCAGTTTCTACTGCTGGCATCCAAGACCTCTGACTGGTTAGTCGACTTTCACCAGTCATTCTCTTGGCTCTTCCTTATTTATTTCTTAAATTTCACTCTCCTCTCTGTAGCCAACGTCCCAGTCTGCATTGCTACCCATAATTTTCAACAGCCCTTTAACTGGCATTCTTCTAGTCTTTTCTTACTCTGGTTTATCTTGTACTCCATGACAAAAACAATCTTCAAAGAACACCTCTGCTCAAAATTCCATATCTCTTGAGCTAGTCCAATCCATGTTCCTTTGCCAACACCAGGACCACTTCAAGGCACAAAGCAGGCAGGCGACAAAGAATTACTGACCTAGTGTCACTTTTCCTTTATTTTGATTCCCTTTTGCACTCTGTACAGTCTTCAGCGCATGACAACGCACATTTCATCTTTGTCTTCCAGTCACTTTCTAACAGTCCTGTGTATGTTGCATGTGTATGTTTACCCCAGTCGGGTCATTCAGAGCAGCGATCCCTGTGTCCCTGTGGCTCCTACTGAAGGTCAGTGAATGGCTCCACTACCACTACAGACAGAGACGGTGACACTTGAACAATGCGGGGGATTGTGGGGGGACAAGGAGTATTGATGCCCACAGTGAAAACTCCACCTGTAACTACTAGTCAGCCCTCCACACACACACATGGATCAAAAACACAGTTGACTCCTGAACTGTGCGGACCCACTTACATGCAGATTTTAAGTATAAGGGGACTCACGCAGTTCAGACCCACGCTGTTCATGGTCAACTGTATAACGTTATGACTTTAAGAAAAAAAGTGTGGTTTTTTTTTTTTTTTCACTGCTGAACAGAAAAGGAGAAAACACTGCAAGGGAAGCCACTAAAGCATTACCAACAGGAAAGACACGTCAGAATGGCACTCTGCCGGGCAATCTCACAGGGGTCACCCTCTCCATGCTGCTGGGACACTCATAGGACTGCTCCGTGAGTCTTCTTGGCTCACCTTCAACCCAGCTGGATCCTCTGCCACAGCTGTCTCACCAGGACACGACTCAAGCGATTGATGTAGCCCATCAATGGCTTCACTTGTGACTTTCCACCCGGCGTGAAGGCGATCTTGGTTTGTGGGGCCTGCGCACAGACAGGAGTTACCTCGGCGTGTCACAAGTATTATGGCCTAGCTATAGCTTCAAAAAGGCAATTTGTTATTTGCCAAATGATGGCTCTTTGTGAACTAAAAATTACTTTTTTAAAAAATTTATTTTTAATTGTAGTTGACATACAATATTGGACTAAAAATCCTTCCCTCCAGATTCTCCTAGTCTCACAGGCTCTTCTATGCCCATTCTGTTTGTGTTTTTTTAATCATATAAAAATTATTATAATAAAGAACAAAATTGTAGAAAGTCAAATAAAAAAATAAGATAACTTATTATATTTTTGTAGGGTTTTCCCAGCTCTGACAAGGTGGCAAAGAAAAAGGTAATGCCATCAGTGTTTCAGGAGGAAAAGGTCCCCGGGTTGCTGGTGGCCAAGAAGTCAGCAACAGAAAGGCCAAGCTGGGCAAAGTGCAGGCAGGCAGGGCGAGACCGGCCCCTGAGGGCACGTCCGAAGCTCAATGCTTCAGTGCTGGTGGCACACTCGGTCTACACAGAGAACTTCTACTGAAGTTAGTTGACAAATGCAGGCATCTCAGCCGGTTGCAATTGTAGGGATGAAATAGCCAAATAAGAGGTTTCTAAACCAATAAACATTAACCATTTAAATGTCAGAGTGTTTTTAACTGAAAGACTATTTTAATGGAATTCTTTCCCAAACATGTTACATAGTTTCTGACCTTAATAATCCAACATAGTTTAATTTTCCTCAAAGTGACTCCGTCACCATCACAATCATGGAACGATGTTGTAACACACAACACAACGTCTTGAGAACTGTGCTGCGTAGCCGTGACTATGCTGCTTTAATGGTACGTTTTCTCGGCTTCTTCAGCCTTCTCCCCTGCCTTCCTTTCTCTGCTTGCTTTCTTCTCCCCTTTCCTCTTTGTCTCTAGCAGCTCTCAACTGAGTGAAAACTGGCTTGGGCTTTGCTAGTCACACCAGCCGACCTGAGCTCCTGTCTGGTGATCAGCATACCAACCGGTCGTATTACACACCTAAGGCTCTACCCAGGATCCTCATTCTGCAGTTACTTCTGAACTCGTCATTTTCTGGAAAGTTCAGGATGGACACATTCAGCTACAAAGGGTATTACTGCTCTAGGTCAGTTCACTGGCCATCTGTCTTCAGTCATGTCATTCCTCTGCCTTCGCACCCACACACCCACCCCCCCCCAACACACAAACACACAGAATGCAAATGTATCTGCTGGTCTACCTAAAGCATTATGATGGGAGTTCAAGTTTTCATTCACGTTCACTAAATGACCCCTATGTGCCAGCCACTGGGCTGATTGTTCAAGGTCAGTGAACAGGGCAGACAAATCCTGCCCTCACAGAGATCTAAATTACACTGCGCAAAACTCAGCTGAGCATCATGATCTTTCTTATATGGGCAACTTGGAACTCAGGAATGGCGACTCCCCTCGCATGGGCACAAAGGCACCATTTCCCTTACCAGTGTAGCGATTCACAACAAGACCGAGCCCTTGGATTTTACCTCCGCTGCAATGACTGTACTGTCCAGCAACGACTTTCGGTCCTCGAAAACCCAGCGGCAGGAGATCCTGGCCCTGCAGGGGTTTGGGTGGCATCAAGTGGGGAGGGTTGGTGGTAGGTTTGGCAAAGTTCCTCTGTTGTGGTACTTGAGTGTTATTCTCCTCGTTAGTACCTGCTGAAAACCAAGGGAAAACAGATGAAAGTTCAGAAGAGTGAAGGAATTATATGTGTGAGGTGACGGCAAGGGAGGGTGGGATGCCCACCATTCCAACAAGCTGCAGAAGGCTTCCTAGAGAGCACGGCATTTAAACAGCTGCATAAAATGGGAAAAAGAGTTGAGTCTATAGGAAATAGGAAAGTTTTTACAAATCATAGGTGCAATTTAAAGGAAGCTCAGAAACAGATAATAAAATGGAAAGGTGAATGAATCAACACATTCTTTATCAAGATGGCTTCCCAAATGTCTCTTGAAAGTTCATGCATACCCCAAGTTCTGGGGCAGAACCCATTTTACCTTGCTCTGGGGAGAGGGCGAGGGTGCCAAGTGCTTCTTCCAACTCCTGAATTTGTTTGAGCAATTTCTGACCCTTGTCTGGAAGAACCTGGATGTTCACCGATGCCAGTGTGCTCTGAAAAACAGGTCCACTAAAATAGATCTCTTCTCTCAAGTTGTTAGAAAGATAGCTTCAGATTAAATTACCTAAAATGCTAAAACTCTGAAATTACGGTCTTTTAACTCTAGGTGTGAAAACCCAAACATTTTTTTAAACCCAGCTGACTTCCAATCCTGAAAACATAAGCATAGGAAAACGCAGAAACTAAACATCCACCTATAAAACCTTTCTCACATTAACATCTTTAACTCGTTTGCGGGTCCTATATCTGCCTGTAGCAAGCGATGCCCTGACCTTAAAAACAAAACAGAAGCCAGGAGTTACCTTCTTCTGTTTCAACTGTGTTGTGAGGTACACACGCTGGGCTGCCGGGTCTGACGGTTCTACCTTCCCAGAAACACCCGAGTCAGGAGGCACTGTTCTCTGCACACTCTGACTAGGGAATTTATGGTTCTCCTTTTCTGAGTCTGGACTCGTGTCAAAGAGTAAGGGGCTTCCTGGCTGACAGGAAACAAAAACAACCTCATCTTCCTCACTGTCACAGCTGCTTGTGTCGGCTTCTCGCCTCTCTCCCAGGGGACGCCCTGCGGCCGGTGGTGCAGCCTGTGTGGCCGATCCTGTCAGAGCAGACACATCATGGGCCTCTGGCTGCACGTGGCAACGCCCCTGGAGCAGCCTCTTCTGGGTGGCCCGCGTGCCTGGGCTGTCCTTGCTGAGGTGTTCTCCTTCCCAGGGCTGGCTTATTGGGTTCTGACTGTGAACAGTTTGAGGCAAAGGCGTGGCTTCCTTTTCTCTCAGAGGTTCTGATTCATCTTGGACATCACTCTTGCCATTTGATTTTGCCTGAAGAGACGCAGAAGGTTTTCTCAGCTCTTTCTCCTGGCACCGTTCAGACTGGATCTCACGATCGCCTGTGCTGTGCGTCCCTTCGGTCTCCTTTGCTTCGCGCTGAAGCTCTGTGTTCTCCCCTCGCTGCTTCTGGAGAACTGCGGGTTGTCTGTCCTTTTCCACCGGGCCAGAGAGGCCTCCCTCCACCCAGCACTTGGATCCAGGCTTCTTTTCCTTCTTTTGATCCAAGAGTGAATCTCCCTTTTCCCTTTGCTTCTTATCTGCCATCTTTTCCTCCTCTTCGCCTTTGACGAACTGTTTCCAGAGAGATGGTTCTTGATTCTTGTCAAGTACCTTGAACGGGTTTCTCTGACTGGAAGGATAACGAAATAGCTCAGATGTATGCTGAGACTTACTCGTTACAGACTGGTCTTTGGAGTTCGAATCCTAAAAGATAAAGAAAATAATTTTAATATAAATGTTAATGCACCCTCCGTATCTTCAATGCCTTTCTTCAGAGGAAACAGACTAAAAGCAGTCCAATATTTCCGAACACACCTGGGATTTCTGCCTCTAG